CTTGTCCACATCACTGGTACTCACAGATTGGAACTGATCCAGAATAATTTCGTTAACGGAGTTGCTGGACACCTTGACAATTGTTTCTGTCAAAATACTGCCATCTAAGTTGGCTCTTATCTGAGGGATTTTATCTGCAAAATAGTTGTTAAACATGTCACAGTAGGCCGTTGTCTTAGGGTTGCCATAAGTTGGAAGTGACTTGAAGGCACACAACAACAAACAACTTCATGGAGGATAAGGCTATTATCAGTTAAAAGCCTATGTATTATCAGAGAAAGTATTTCTCTGAATCCTAGTTACTAAAGAGCACTGGGAGGAAGCTGATGTCATTATGTCCTGCTTGTAGGTTTTTCAGAGCCATTTGTTTGGGAACTGTATATTGAACTATATAAGTCTTTGGCCTGATACAGGAAGTTTATTTTAATTTTATATTTTCTGTCTAAATATATCCAAGATTTCCCTATGTCTGCTGAAAAAAGAGACCAATGTTAAAGTCCAATATTCATTGACCTGAGAGTTAGTACCATTAAATGCAATGTGACTTACATCTAAGGTGACATATATAGGGTTGTAATTTAAGAGTACAATCCTATGCATCTTTTTGGAATTATTTATTAGTATTAGTATAATAACCCACCTTTTTTCCCTATCTGGGACTCATTTAAATCCCATTATATCAAAGGCACTGTATCACTAGTAAATATGTTTAGAATTACATCCCAAATGAGGCTAATGGTTGTTCCTTTTGATTTTGAGATTCACCCATATTTCCCCACAATGAGGAAAAAGAGGGTGTTGTGAATAATTTGTATTTCATTTTGCTTTTTGCATTTCCTTTTAAAAATAATCTTTATTATTTTTCAAATGTTAAAAAACAAAATAGAAAGACAAATAAAACAAATAAACATATTAATAATCCATATTAGTACAAATTGATAATATACAAATTACCAAAATTAACAAACACTAACAAAGACAAGGTCTAAACAAACATAATTATACAAACCTAACACATATAACACTTAAATAAAAATATTTTTATTTAAGTCCTTTTTGCATTTCCTATGCTCCTGTTACTAATCCTCTCTGTGTTTGCTGATTAGAGGTATGTTTTTCTTTTTCTTTTTTTGGAAAAGCATCACACAACATTAAGCTGTGCATTTAATGTAACAGAGAGTTTGGCCTGACCACTCATGGTTTCCTCATCCCTTGTAACCAACCAATATGCAAATTCATTAGATTTTCTTAGTGGAGCCAGGTTCTTGCTCTGGCAAAACTCTGTCGTCCATCAACATAATTCCCTGCCCCCGCCAACATCCCTCAGTTTTCCCCACAAAATCCTAGTTGGCTTTTATGTTACACAGGCTTGGCACATGGTCAGAGAGGTGGACATTTGATAATTCATTCAAAATCTCTCTCACACACACACAACATGAAATGGAGATCTGTCATATTTTGTTGTAAGCTCAGAAATCCACACAATCAGAAAAAAATCTAACATTTTGTTAAAAGGTTGGAGGGAGAATGTCCCACTGTATACCACCTAAGGTGGGGATAAGAGGAAATCTTCACTGTCCTTCCTGTTGCCTTTGCAATGCACTCTCATCAGAATGGTGCTGAGACCACAGCAGCATTCCTGCTGTATTTACTCACAGCAAGTACCATTTGCTCTGCACGCAGTCCTGCTTATCTTGATCAGGCTACTTAACCAAAAGGATGACAGAAGCTAGCACATAGTGATTACTGCAGCTCACCATTTGCGGCTTATCATTTGTGAGGCCCAAAGAGTTCTCTTGAACTTGTCATTTACACTCTGTTCCCAGCATCTTGCCCTAGCACTTGACAGCACTTTGGTGCCTTTTTGCTACCAGCTGCCTTTCCTTCACTTTATGTTACATTTTAGGAAAGGTAAATACAGGAGTCTCTCCAGATCAGAAGAGGAAGTGCATTGCTTCCACTTTAGAGAGCAACCTTTGAAATCATTAGCAGAAGGTGGTCTTCTCTCAACCTCAGGATATGGGAGCAAGGTGAGGGAAAGATAGTAAAACATCTGAGGATCTACTGCTTCACATACCTGCTTGACCTTCCCTCTCCCCTGGCCTTTCAAAGTGGCAAATATTACCAAGCCTCTACCTATAAATAATTACAATAGTACTAACAATAGAAGTCTCTTTCAGGTCTCCTAACTTGACTTTGCAGTTCAGCAACTTCAGTTTTGTATTCCCCTCAGGATGTTTCCTTCTGAATATTATTAACTGTCCTCCATCGTTATCTGTGCCCTTGCTTATTAATGTTTCAATACCAATTTCACACAAAGAAGCTCACCATTTTGAATGCCAGGCTTTTAAATGTGTATTTTCAGGGGAGAAGGGAATCAGAGAAAGGCCTCAATCCCCCTATTACTGTCAGCTAGAGTAGAGCCATTGAATCAGTGTGATTTACTTACAGACTGACATACCATTAAATAATTGATTCAATGGTTCTGTCCAGTTGGGAACAACCAACAGGACTGTGGTCATCGTGTGATAATGTAGAAAGAAGCGCTGGTTTTGCAATTGTTAAATGAATGACATGACATTCAGGACCTCAGAGTGCTCTGTCTCTGTGTGTGTCTTTTTTCAGGTCCCTAACTACTTGTTAGGATTTGATTGTAGGCTGAAATCCTAACAAATACTTTTATCCATGTATCTGAAATATTTATATGTGTGTAGTTGTTATGTGCCTTCAAGTCAACTCCATTTCAAAGTGATCCTAAGGCAAACATATCATGGAGTTTTCTTGACAAGATTTATTCAAAGGTGTTTGATGTTGCCTTCCTCTGAGACAGAGAGTGTGACTTGCCCAAGGTCACCCAACAGATTTCCATGGCTGAGCAGGGAGTTAAACCCTGCTCTCCCAGACTCCTAGACCAACACTCAAACCACTATGGCACACTAGCTCAATATCATAGAATCATAGAATCATAGAGTTGGAAGAGACCACAAGG